CCCCAGTCCGTTTGGAAGATTTAAAGTAAACAGTGAAGAAGAAGAAGAAGATGCCCTCACCTTGTCGTCTGCTATGTGGTTCTCCTGGGGGGTGTTGCTGAACTCTGGAATAGGAGAAGGTGAGACAAAGCAGCTCATGGATAAAAACGGTAAATATATCTGTCTGACAGTGTTGCTGCCAGGATAGCATCGGTATTGGTAGGTGTTTGTGGCTCAGTGTTGTCTTGCTTTTTCAAATCGCAAGTCCGCCTCATCGTTGTATTTTTTAATGTGATATTTTAGGAGTTATACTTTGGTTCCTTGTATTTGTAGTGTTGGTCTTTGTGCTAAGTTGTGGAATTCAAAATTAGAAACAAGACCAAACGCTGTTTCATCATCCTTCCACAGTTTAAGCGTTGAAATCAGGCCGCAAACAGTCATTTTTAGTACTCTAGCAGGAAGAGGTAGGGCTTTCAGGATGGCACCCTTAATATGAATTGGTACTTCTAATATTTTCTTTGTTAAAAACATTCGATTATTAGATAAGGGGTTTCCAAAGTTGCGGTCAGGACACCACATTTGGTCAATTTTTGGGGTTTTGAGAAGATTTCTAGAAATTACATTTTAATTTTAATGGTTGTTCTCGCCATAAATGTTCCAAGAGATAAAACAGAGTTAGCTGTGTGGGGATAGAAATAGTCTAAGGTTGTGCTATCATGAACACTTCTTAGTTTAGTAGGCTTATTAGCAATGTTTGATACCCTCAACCAAGGATACTTAGCAAGTCTTTTGTGAAGTTTGGGAACCAGTAAGATAGATGTATTTCATTTGAACTTAGTGACTTCATGTCTAATGAATAAGAGGTAGGGTTAGGGGTAACATCAACCCAAAGTTGAAAGGGTGCACTGCTTAGCTAAAAACTCAACTTGAACTTACCACGTAGGTGCACCACGCAGCTTCTCAGCGAGAATCCTTGGCATGGTGTGGGCTGGCTTTGCTATGATCATTGTGGCCTCCTATACTGCCAACCTGGCAGCCTTCTTGGTGTTGGACCGGCCTGAGGAGCGCATCACCGGCATCAACGACCCAAGGGTGGGTGACGCAACAGCCAAACACATTGCTTCATCCTACCTGACAAAACATTTGTTTAGCTGTCTGCTCGTTATCCTTTTCTACCTGCAGTTGAGAAACCCGTCTGACAAATTCATCTACGCCACGGTAAAGCAAAGCTCCGTGGACATCTACTTCCGGCGACAGGTGGAGCTTAGCACTATGTACCGCCACATGGAGAAGCACAACTATGAGAGTGCCGCCGAGGCTATCCAGGCCGTGCGTGACAAGTGAGTCTCGGCCAGGCCTGGCCGACCGGAGCACAGGTCGGCCGGCTGCTTGACGTAGACTAAGCCCAACATAGGTTATTTGTGGGGAAGGGTGGGGACATGGACTTTGGAACCAGGTGGAAGTGGCAGGACTTACTGCTACGTTCACTCTGACTCAGGTCCATCCGTCACCCGATTTGAGACTAGGGTTAGCAGGAGGCGTTGACGTGTCAGCAAGCACTGGCACGAGTGGAGGTTGAGCTAACGTTGAGTCTAGGAGCACCCTTTTTCAGGTTTTACCCAGATGAACATCTCTGAAAATTTGTGGAATCCAGTGGGGGACGCTCGCTCACCCATTGGGGCCGTAGAGACTGCTGGTAAACGCTGAAATGACACGATTTGGTGTGCGAGAAAGAGAAGGTTGGGAGCCGTAAATGTGTTTGTAAATCATTGTACTGTTGCATCGTAACCCCGCTCCTTCCCCTCCCTCCCTCCCTCCCCCCACAGCAAGCTGCATGCTTTCATCTGGGACTCTGCGGTGCTGGAGTTTGAAGCCTCGCAGAAGTGCGACCTGGTGACCACGGGAGAGCTGTTTTTCCGTTCGGGCTTTGGCATAGGCATGCGCAAGGACAGCCCCTGGAAACAGAATGTGTCCCTGGCCATTCTCAGGTCTGTCCCAGCGGAGGCTGCATTTCTCGTATGACTTCTTTTTTTGTTTGTTTCTTTTCTTATGATTTTATGGTCTTCTGACCATTTACGAACATCCAATACATTGGCTTATGTCACATCTCTATATGTGTCTCCCCTTCCAGCCTTGTTTGTCTGTGTCATGTTTGTGTCCGTCTCTAAAAAAAAAAAAAACCTGTCCCTCCTTCATTCGTGTTCTGGGAGTTAAGCGGCCAGGACGTTCTGTAGTATAAGGTCACGTTTTGTAACTCTGTCACCTCTCTCTCCATCACCCCCAACCCCTTGCAGTTCTCATGAGAATGGCTTCATGGAAGACCTAGATAAAACCTGGGTGAGATACCAGGAGTGTGACTCACGGAGCAATGCCCCAGCCACACTCACCTTTGAAAACATGGCAGGTATGGTCCTTATGACGTAGGGGGAAACAAAAAATAAAGTGATTGGACAAAAACTGCAGTGGTAAGGTACTGTAGCTCTTTTTTGTCCAATACCTTTGAAAGAATCGTTGTTTTAGTGTCAACATGGGTGCTCTAAGTGTGGCTTAGACTATCATGTGTTGTGATTTTTGTGCAGTAGTGTTTTATTTCATTTTATTTTTTATTGATATCGTGTTGTTTACAGCCGCTGTCGTCAGTAGGAGCAGGTTAGGAAAACAGATGCGACCACTGAGCATAACGAGCAGTCATGCTCTGCGGGAGCGGCGCGATTCTAGATCGGCTGCTCACATCTTTCCGTACGTCTGTCTTTTCCTCTCCCCCTCCCCCCAAACAGGAGTCTTCATGCTGGTGGCTGGAGGCATCGCGGCAGGAATCTTCCTCATCTTTATCGAAATCGCCTATAAGCGCCATAAAGACGCCCGCAGGAAGCAGATGCAGCTGGCCTTTGCGGCCGTCAACGTCTGGAGGAAGAACTTGCAGGTAGGAACGAAGCTCTTCGCCTGGTCACGTTTGGGGTGGAAGCACCAAAAACTGGGGGGTGCGAAATAACAAACAAAGCGCCTCTTTTGAGCTGATCGACTTTCATCTCCCATCGTTTCTGGGAACTTTTAATTTTCAGCAAAAAGGGACAGAGATTTCTGGGGCCAAGGCATCCCGGGTGGCCATTTTGAGGGTCTTAACATTTTCCAGAGGCCAACTGCATCTCTTGTGTGTGCCTGCAGGAAAGTAAGGATGCCTCTGGAAGTCAAGCGGTGACGGGGATCTCCTCTTTAGTATGTACCACCCCAGCGTCACCGCTAGCTGATAGAAAGTAAAACAAAATAAGTATGGAGATAAGCTAGTCTCAAAAAGGTTTGCAGATCTGCTCACCTATGAATGTGACTTTTGAGACTTTCTTCCCACTGCAGATTCACACATGCCGCGTTCAAGGTTGGCAAAAAGTTGAACATCTGAGCTTTACTAGATTTATTGAGTTTTTGGGAAAAGACATTACTGAAGCATTTCCAAAGCTAAAAGTCAGCTTCACTATCCCACTAACTACAAATATAGCTTTGCCCATGTTAAATGTAAAAACAAAAACATGGAAGATAAAAATTAGCTTCATTAACTCATAATCTACCAACTAAAAATCTAGCTTTGCTAATGCTAAAAAGCTAAACATTAAAAGGTGGAAGGTAAAAGTTAGCTTCATTAACTCATAATGGCTGTGTCCAAAACGACAGGCCGGGTCCTCCGAAGGTCGAATTTGTCGGCCGCATACGTCACAGCGCCGCGACGAAGGACGTCCAAAACCGAAGACTCCTCCGATGCGGCCGACAAATACGTCCTTCCTTTGGCCCGAATCGAAGGACAGGTCCGATGGATCCTTCCCGGCCCAGCGTATCCCATAATACATTGCGGCCCGACCGGAGATTTTTTTAAGCTAGTAATGGCGGACGAAGCAAGAGAAAAGAATACATTTTAAATAAAAATATGGTGATATAAAAGTTTTTAAAAAATTAGCGGTTGTAATTCTAATACTTTTATCATTTGTATGGACATGTTTTTAAATATTATTTTTTCGTCATAAAAAACGCGAAATAAACATGAACCTACAGCCGGTCAATTAGTTCTTCAAATGATACCTTTAAGTTAATTTTATAGTTTTGTGATATTAATAATGCTAATGTATTGATATTTTTAGAGTTTTGATTTAAGTTTGCTTGTTTAGCGTCGTCACAGTTGCTAGGTGACATGACGTACGCCGGGGTAAGGAGGGGAGGCTAGACCGTCCAAATTCACAGCCTCTTTTTTTCCGGTCTTCCTCGTCTACCAAGGACCCGGCCCGTCGTTTTGGACACAGCCAATCTGCTAACTAAAAATCTAGCTTCGCTAATGCTAACATGCTAAACTATGCTAAATGCTAATGCTAAACATAAAAAAGGAGTTAGAAGTTGGCAAAATCCAGTTTATTGAAAATTATTTTGTCTATTAATGATTTTCAAAATTAGCAAAAAAAAAGCTAATTTGATAAAATAATAATAATAAAATTCTGCTATTAGCTGATTCGCAGATCAATGCCCACCAATGGAAATCCTGATATCCAAATATAGTTTGAGATTTCCTCTTTCAAATTTTCAAATAACATCAAGAAATCTTCATTAGAATTCACTAAAACTAAGATTCAGACCCATTTTTCACAGGTATTCCCAATTTTTAAGCCAGAAATCTGAAGATGTGTGGGTTTAGTTCGACCAGATTTGCGATGGGTCACATTTTAAACAATTAAAAGTGTTTATTTTTAGTTTTAAAAATATGTAAAATTTTATTATGTACTTGGTATTACTTTCGATTTTATTTAAATATAGTATATTTTTATCTCTATTGGTTTAGAACAGTTTGTTTATTTAAACTAAAATAATTTTGTGCTGAGATGCGATGAGCCATATGGGTCAAACCAAACAGAACAAATAAATATTTATATTTTTGTAGTTTTTCCATAAAAATAATAACCTACCCATTAAGAGATATTTATTTTAGTCGTACAGTCCACAGAATTAGCATTTTTTGAACCCTGTAATATCAATGCAAGCATGTGTTTTAATATTAGTTCATGAGCTATAAGTCAGAACTGTTTTTTTCAATAACACAGTAAATGTGGTTCACGCTCAGATGTCCCAGCTTTTCATCAGCCTTGAAAGCAGCTTTATAGAGGCCAATGTGCAGCGATAAGAAAGTCTCAAAAGTCACATTTAAAGGCAACCAGATCCGCACGCTCAAATCTTTTTGAGACTAATTCATCTCTGCAAATAAGTGGCCCTCTAAAATGATGGATATTTAAAATTTGCTCATAGCATGATGCTGCTGTACGGGTTAGACACTACAAAAGGTCACATGATGCCACAAAAATAACCTTTTAAAAGCAGCGTCAGCGATGATTACAGTGGAGCTTTAATCATGTCATCATCGACCTTTTTTATTTATTTATTTATTTATTTTTGCTTTTGCAGCCATGTAGCAGCCTAATAGAGCATAAAGGGCAACAATCAATGCCTCGGCACAATCATACCCTTGTGATTGACCCAGAGTTGTTCAGGATTCTGTAACACAGGCTGGTGTTGTCATGTTAAGGTTTCATGCTGTTAGCTTTGCGTAGCGCTACCTGAACAGTTCTTCAGTTCACTAAAATAAAAAAAATAAAATAAAAATCCCAAACATTTCTAAATCTGATTTTCAGAAACCCGAGTTGGAAATATCCAATGACCTAAATGTTGGATCAAAAATTTGTTGGGCCACTTCTTTTTTTGGGCTCATTTTCGTCGACCCAGTTGCTCATTTCTCTCAGGAGGTTTGTCAGCGCTGCCCCCTGCTGAGGTGGGCTGGTCTTATTCTAAATTTGACCCAGGTTTTTGGAGCATACATCCAGCTCTTTGGTTCAAAAACATCCCACATAGCAAAACTGGTCTGGCCCGGTTCTGGCCCACATGTCCTTACCTGATCGGTAATGCTCGGCCCAGATACCACAAAGAATGATGGCCCAGAGGTGGTCCATGCATGGGCCAGCACCCACATAAACAAAACAACAACCAGGCCAGTTGTGGAACTGACAGATATGGACCACAAATACCAAACCACAGTCAGGCCATTTGTGGAATGCAATCATAGCCAGACCTGGCTCACATCTGGTTGATAAACCATTTGCCATGCCAGCAGTCATCCAGACACCAGATCTGACCCAAACTGGTCTGCTATATGGGATCCCACAAAGCAAAATTGGTCTGTCCCAGTTCTGGCCCACACTAGACCTGAAACATTTTAGTACTTAGCCCAGATACTGCAACGAATGGTAGCCCTTTGGTGGCCCTGATGTGGTTTGCCAAGCATCACATAAACCAAATCAGAACTGGGCCAGTTGTGGCATTGACAAATTTGGGCCACATTAACCAAACCACAGCTGGGCCAGTTAAGGAATGCTATCTTAAAAACAGTGCCATCATTGTCAGACCTGGCCCATGTTTGGTTTACAAACCACTTGCACAGCTAGACACCAGAACTGGCCCACACATGTCTTCCATGTGGGATCCCACATAACAAAATAGGTCTGGCCCAGCTCTGGCCCAGACAAGTCACTAAACATTCTAACACTCAGCCCGGATATAGCAAAAAATGATGGCCCTTTGGTGGCTGAGATGTGGTTTGCCAAGCACCGCATAAAACAAATCAAAAATGGGCCAGTTGTGGCATTGACAAATTTGAGCCACATAAACCAAATCAAAAATAGGCCAGTTGTGGCATTGACAAATTTGAGCCACATAAACCAAATCAAAAATAGGCCAGTTGTGGCATTGACAAATTTGCGCCACATAAACCAAATCAAAAATGGGCCAGTTGTGGTATTAATAAGTTTGAGCCATGTAAACCAAACCAAAAATGGGCCAGTTGTGGCACTGATAAGTTTGAGCCATGTAAATCAAACCAAAAATGGGCCAGATGTGGCACTGGCAAATTTAGCCCACATAAACTAAACCACAACCGGATCAGTTGTGGCATGCTATTGTAAAAACAGTGCCATGTTGTCCAGACCTGGCCCACATCCACTTAACAAATCACTTGCTTGCAGTCAACCTGCTAGGCACCAGATCTGGCCCACACACATCTGCTATGTGGGATCTTTTTGCTTCCTGTATTAATTATTCTGTATTTTATTGTGACCTATTTCCAAAAAAAAAAGTCTCTAAGTCACAAATTATTGCATTTTTCTCTTAGAAATAAAGAAATGTGATTTCTGGCTGTTATTTTAACTCTAGTTAAATGAATGGTAATGAAGAGGAAAGCTGGTCCAATCAAAACCACTTATGTGCTTTTATGAACCCTTAAATTTGAATTCTTCTCCATTTTAATGTACTCCTTTGAGTAAATGAGGAGGTTTTTTTTATTTGAGTGAACGAACTGATTTCATCTATAATCAAGCATCAGGAACAATTTGCCGCTGTGCAGCAGCGCAATCAGCTCCTCTTTCCAACACCATGATTGGATTGGTTTGGAGGGACAGGTTTTTTTTCCTCATGTAGCGGCCGATCGCATCATTGTGATGCAACCCCGGCTGTGTGTTCTGCTGCCGAAACGAGGCAGCAGTGCCGGGAAGAAGGTACAGTATAAAAAAAAAAAGAAAATCACAAGTGCCTGTCAGCAAAGCAGTGTCCTTCTTATGGCATCTCCCATCGCACCGATGACTGTGTGTCAGTGTTGTGAGCGTCCTCGTATGGATGTACGATGCTCAGACACATGCAAGCGGGTGAATGCATGCAGGGTGGCATCGCTGAGGAAGGAGCGAGACGCACATTAAACTGCCCCACAGAACATCGGCGTTTAGAKCCGCGCCGGCGACGACGATGATCGTGTTCTCCGCCTGGGTGAACGAAGACGGCWCATGTTGCTCGCTGACCGTCACCGCGGAGCAAATACAAAAAACCAAAACAGACACGCATTAATCGCGACGA